AGAGAGAGAGAGAGAGAGAGAGAGAGAGAGAGAGAGAGAGAGAGAGAGAGAGAGAGAGAGAGAGAGAGAGAGAGAGAGAGAGAGAGAGAGAGAGATCCCACCCTCCGATATGTCAGGGCTCTGTGTGCAGCTGCCGTTCGGGCAGATTCCGATTACGCCCGGTCTTTTCAGCTTGCCCCAGCTTCTTGACTGAATTGCCGCCAGATACATTGCTTTCCCCGTTAACCACGGTGGAATCCATTGCACGTCGACGCACTAAGAGCACTTCCTCACTATCAGCGTCGCTGACGACGTCAGTGCCCCGATTCGTCGCCATTTTTCATGCTGCTGACCTGAGAAGGCTGACTGGCCACATTGCATTCCTTACCATGGGAATGCCACCGGTGGCATAGGGAGTTCAAAGTTCAAACGCAGTCCACTCGCCGATACAGCTTTTCTCCATCTCACCGTTACCTCAAGCCCAAGTCCCAATGAGTCGCCTGACATTCTTCACATTTCTGCGTGGGTCGATCGCTGACAACCCTCGGCTCGCCCACCTACAAGTCGACGGCTCGAATCCACTATAACGGCCTCGCTAAGGCTTGTCTGCGCAGTCTGCAAATTTGTGTCTGACAAATTCGGAATTGGCAATTTTTTCAATTCGGGCCTTACCGATTTCCGAACCGCTTCTMTTYCCTGACCCATGCCTACGCTCCCTAGGATTGACAACCCCTCCACCGATTCAAAAGAACGACTCTCAAACCCGATGGCCAACCCCAGTGGGAGAAAAAGCTTTCATCCAATTCTTTTCGGGATGATAAAAYGACGGACCATCCGATCCTTTCACCATCTACGGCTCGGAAATGTGTCACACAGACGGACGGTCCTCATTCCTTGCATTTTCCTATCGCTAGTGGGACTTGGCCCCCGGTTACAACTTACCAGCACAAGCCTAAGCTGGGTAATGGCCCCAGTTTTTTCCTCTGGGTTGTTCGTTGAGGTTTTCCCGGCCTCTACTTCCAAAAGAAAAAGAAAAAAGCAAAAAAAAAAACATCCTGCAACACCTCCGGCCCCTTCTGCCTCGGCGCTATATAGACTGCTCCTTCGCACGAAGGGCCTTGTTGCACTCTGGCCATCTCGCAGCAATTTGAATGCATCTGGTTGCGAATTTGCATCCAGATGCATTCAAATTGTTTGCCCATGGTGAGCAGTGCAACTAGGCCCTAAGGCTTGGATCCCACATCCTTTAGTGAGGCCTTTTTTTTTTTTAATCCAGACCCCACAAAGTACCAGGGGCATCGGGACCCGAAACAAAAACCGGCTGTTTCTACTCTCTGTTGTTGAGGTGTCGTACTGGCCCTGCGTCCCCCAAACAAAAACCGGCTGTTTTCTACTCTCTGTCGTTGACGTGTCGTACCGGCCGCGCGACCCCCGCCGTGAAGCGCCGACTATTTTTCGTAATCCTTGCGCAGGGGCCATGCTATTCCTTGTCTTTTTTTTTTTTTTTTTTTTTTTGCTAATCCTGGGCGGACGATGCCTCGTCCAGGTCTCACCTTTCTCTTTT